CACTTGAACCCGGGAGGTGGAGGTTGCAGTGAGTCCAGATCGTGCCATTCCACTCCAGCCTGGCAACAGGGCGAGACTCCAAATCAAAAGTAAAAAGAAAAAAATATGGACCCTCATGCCCACCCCAGACTTTTTGAATCAGAATCCACATGTTAACCAGCTCCCCAGCTCATTCATATGTGCATTAAAGTATGAGAGGCACCTGTTTAGGAAGCTAGTCTGGGTTCTTACCTACCAAGCATAATGCTGTTCCTTTGACAAAATGTACACTAAACTCTGAATAAGAAATGTATTAGGGACTGCTTTTATGCCCTGCACATAATTCCATAATAAACTGGAGACAGAGAGTGTCATATCAGCCTCAACCATGCATCCAGTACACAGCAAAAAGCAGATGTGAGATAAAGATGCTGTGCATGAAAAACATCAGTAAGCCACTGAATCTCTCAATGCATTCAGAGTGCTTTCAGTGAATCAGCACCCAGAAACAGTGAGCTCTGGGGTTGGCAGCACCACAATAGACTACACATGGTATAAAGGAAGCTCCTGGATGGTGAATAAGACTGTGTTGGAGATCCCCTGGGGTCTGGAGTAGGCGGGAAAAATCAGAGTTTCTGCATCTGGGCTACATTCCCAGGCAGATCTCAGAGCCAGGGCTTTCGAAACAGATCTGTGGCTCTGGGCCAGCTGACCACCAGCCGCGCATGCACGTCCTAAAAGCACACTGGGGAATTTGCAAGCAGGGGCCCCAGGGACTCCCCACTCCCATGCACGTAAAGTAAAAATGGAACAAACCATCCAGGAAACAAGAGTGGGGCCTTGCTCTGACAGCTGAAACCATTAAAATGCAGAGCCAGCGAGACAGAGCTAGAAGCAGAACCTCTGCCAGACCTCCGCCCGGGGAAGGGTGGCCACAGTGAGGGAAGCAGGCATACCCCTGAGGTTACCAGAATCACAGCCTTCCAAATGAAAAGGAGCGGGCTCTTCATCCAACTGGTGCTCAAAATACTCTCATCGTTAGGAGAGGGGGCAGTAATAGAGCAGCAGCTTCTGCTTATCAATGGTTTATATGCTTGACAGAACTGAACACAGCAAGGCAGGTAATTCAACCTCATTTCACAGATAAAAAGAAAGACGGGGCTCTGAGAGATTAAGAACTTTGCTCCAGGCCACACTGCTATAAACAACAGAATCAAGATCTAGAACCAAGCCCATTGACTTCCAAGCTCACATTAATTACGCTGCACCCCAGTGGTGCAAGCAAATGCATTCAGGTAAGTCCCAGGCCCATTCATTGTATGGGGGAGGAGGCTGAAGCCAGACAATGCTAAAGTGAACTGGCCAAAGTCCCATAGCTGGGCCAGAACAAGTGATATGTCCCCTCCTTCCTCAGGAACAAGGATGGTTATGGGATAATGGAGGAACGAAACATTCAGGCAAATCTCAGATCACTACAAATATTCAGATTTAGAAGTCGAATGAGAGGCAGGGTAGCTTGGCTAACTATAGCCAACGTGCCAATGCAAAGACCTGGTCAACTATATACAGTCTGTCATTTGCGCTCACAGCTAAATCCTCCAAGTCTTCTGAAGCACCCGCAAGTGACTGGAAGGGACTTCTTTGACATGTAGAGTTGACCTAGTTCATGATAGAATTATCAGAATAGCTTCCTTACTAGCTGCCAGCTAATCTGCTTACACAAAATGTGCAAAACACATTTCCCAGATTGCAGGATTTTCTCTCCCTCTCTCCTCTTTTTTCAGTTTTGTTTTTGCCTTTATTTAACTCCATCTCCCAAGTGACTTCCTCGCATATGATGAAACAAAGTGTGTGAAATATCAAATAAAGGTCTCCAAGTTATTCTTTGATATGGACCCAGTAATTTCACTAAAGGATCTTCAAGGCTCTGCCAAAGTCCTTCCAAGCAAGACTTGCCATGTGGCTCTAAAGGAAGGCCTGTCTGCTGGGTGTTCTCCTGTACCACCCCTCCCATAGGCCTGTCTGCAGGTCAAGAATGATCAACCACACCTACTGCACCTCTGTTGCCTCTTTTGCACCAGTCAAGTCCTCCATGTCTGGCCCCAAGACCTCCTGGTCCCTTATCACCTCTTTTTCTACCTCATCTACCCTCTGCTCCAAACTTGTAGCCACTCATGCCCCCCAAAATGCATCTTCTACATTCCTGCCATGGTACCTTACTGGAGCTGAGATGCCCTTCCTCCACCTAAAAGGTGCTTCTACCTCCTAGCTCCCCTGGTAGCAAGACTCACCACCCCCCTCTGGAGTCCTCTCTAGCTTTTTTTCCCTCCCTCTTGGTCTCCTACATGAAATAACAATCTCCTGAAGATAGGAACCACGCCTTTTCAATTTGAGCTAGTAAGCATGTTTTCAACGCCTGGGATCTCCAGGAAATAAAAAGAAAAGCAGAACCTAATTCCTGCCCTCAGAGAGCTCAAATCTATTACAGATCTGACATGCTGGTATGTAAAAATCTACACTCCAATAAAGATCTTGGAGAAAGGAACAAGGGAGAAACTGCTCAATGAGTATATAGTTTCCTTTTGGGAGTGATGAAAATGTTTGGAAATAGATAGAAATGATGATTGGACAACATTCTAAACATACTTCGCCACTGAACTGTATACTTTAAAATAATCAATTTTATTTTATATAACTTTGACCTAAATAAAAATCACAAATACAGGTTAGAAAAATAGAGATCAGATCTAGTGTGTGTGTGTGTGTGTGTGTGTGTGTGTGTATATATAATATATATATAATAAAATCATGTTAATAGATTGTTTTTGCCTTGTTGCTTCACTCCATTTATTCCCTCATATGCAAGAAAATATTCATTGAATATAACTAAGTGAACATCTCTAAGTTATCCTTTGACAGAAACCAGATGATTTCATTAAAGAAAGGGCAGAAGAGTTTCATTGCCCAAAAGCTGGGGCAATGAAAACAATGAGTCAGGTCCTCAAAAAGCTAAATACAGAGTTACCCTATGACCCAGCAGTTCCATCCTAAGTATATGCTGAAGAGAACTGTCCACACAAAAATGTGTATCCAATGCTCGTAGCAGCATTATTCACAGTAGCTAAAAAGGGGGAACAATCCCAGTGAATGGATAAACAAAATGTGGTCTGTTGAATCAACACAGTGCCATTCAGTCATAAAAAGGAATGAAGTACTAAGAGATGCTATAATATGGGTGAACTTTGGAGACATTTGTGCCACAGGCACAAAAGGCCACATTGCTTATGACTGCCTTTATATAAAATGTTTATAAGAGGTGAATTCATAAAAACAGAAAGTAGATTAGTGGTTGCCAGGGGCTGGGGAGAGGATGAAATGAGAAATGTTTGCTAATTAGTATCAGGTTTCTTTGGGGAGTGATAAAAATATTCTGGACTTAGATAGTGATAATGGCTGTATCACTGTGAACCACACTAAAAACTATGAAACTGTGTACTTTAAAGGGGTAAATTTTATAGCATGTAAATTAGATTTCCATTTTTAAAATAATTTTTTAAAAACAAAATAAAAATAATTCAGGCTCCAACTAAAGACTAAGAGCATCAAACCCTCTGTGTGCATTTTGTGGGTCATCTCACCCAGAGGTGTTCAAATTATGCTCCTGGGTTTTCCCAGGACTGACGGGTTTCCTGGGACACAAGGATATCAGTGATAAACCTAGGAAAGGCACAGGCAACCTGGACAACTGTTGACTCAAGCTCCCGAAGAGCCACAAGCAATGGGTAAAGAGTCTTCAATCTCCAATCCCAACCAAAGCCCATCTACAACCACAACTTCTTTTACATACTGGGCTTTGCCTACACTTCAGATTAAGGAAACGTATTCTGTGGCTAAAACTGGTTTCAAAATCATTATCCAAGCCATTATTCTCCCAATGGTTCTTATCAGCCAAAGCCCAGGAGGTTCAGAGACAGCATTTTCAGTGAGATGAGTCTAACAAGCAAGACAGAATCTCAATGTGAAGGGCAGGGGGACTGAGCAAAAGCCACCTAGAAGAGGTCCAAGGGTGTACAGTGCTGATGGCCTGAGCGGGGCTGGACTAGGTTCCTAGCTGCATCCACTATCACTGCCCTTCCGGTCAGCAACTGTCTCTCAGAGGGGAAGGTGGAGCTCCATGGACAGATCTCAGTTTGAACTTCTTTTGAAACCTGAGAGCTTTATGGATGGTTTCTCAAGTCTTGTCCAGCACCTATTTCTATCATCCTAGGCTCTGGCAGCATTCACCCATAAACCTTTGGCTCTGTTTTCAATACACTGAAGCCTTCTTACTATGAACACAGGTAATCCTCTGCCATAGGCCTCTTTTTCCGGTTGTGAAAGCACATCCAACCCATACTCAGAGTAAGCCAGAAGTATCAGAGAGTATTAACTCTGGCCCCCAAAGCAGCCTTCAACCAATATGAATGGGGAATTAGTAGATAAACAGCCTCACCTCTTTGCCCATCAGCAGGAGAACTGTGAGGTATATTATACCATGTCCCAGAGTTCCTAAGAAGGTCTGAGCCCAGTTGTCCACAGTAGTGACCTGTTCAATAACGTACCTTATATTGCTTCCCGATCTCACTCCCTCACTCCCCTACTGGTAGGTCCTTTGATTACATCCCAGATAAGCTGCTTGCACCAGACTCTATCTCAAGGTCTGCTTTGGCGGAGAGGAGGAGGAGGAGGGCAACAAAAATTGATCCTGTGACATATTTTGTGGAAATAGCAATTTGAAATATACACACACACACAGTGGCCCACAGTCATTCTACAGGAAACATTCAACAGAGCTCAGGACTTGGTCAGGTCAACAAGCCAACAGTCACTGGACGTCACCCTGAACAATGCATAAAAGTTTAATTTACTTGAACATAATTTTAAAAATTGCATTAAAAAATAAATATGAGGCCATTTGCAAAACATAAAGAGTTCCATGGGTGCTTTTAAAAGCTATAATTAAATGAACAAAACCCACTTACTTATAAAAGGCCTGGTTTTCCACTCCACACTTCCAAAGATGTTTGCAGGCAGCTGGTGTTGAAGTATGGAATGCCAACATGGCTTTTTTCTAATTAAAAAATAACAAAACAAGAAAAGGCACGTTCAACACTGTTTACATTTTCCACGGGGTTTCTTTTTCAGGTGTTTACCTCTTTGTATCCTGCCTCCTAACACACAGACTTGAAGTAACAATATATTGCTACGTTCCTTACAGTGTTGCTGACATGGTATTCACCCCTCCCTCACCTTTGCAGATAGCACTAATGTATCTAGGTCCTGTTTCTGATAAAAATCAGCCTCACAATCTCTCTCAGTACTCCAGGCATCATCCACCTCTCTATCACACTTGAATTGGCCTTAAGACATATTTGCCATCCTTGAGGAACTAGTACTTGGGTTGAAAACTAATGTCAAGAAAACCTGCAGATTTCTAGAGCTAGCTCTGAGGCTTAATCTTTTGTTAATGGTCTCCCCACAAATGCATTCTCTGGTGCACCACAACCTATATCTAGTAATTCCCGTATTTTAAGCCTCTCTGGACTAATAGGCTCTAGTTATAACAATCGAACAAGCACAGGTTGTTGATATTTAGCTTTGTAAGTATTCTTTGTCTCCTGTGTCTGTATCTTGGCAAAAAGAGGTAGAGAGAGGTTTCATCTTTTATTTCCAAAGTCTATCCCAGTCTGTTCTGCACACAGGGGTGTACAATCAGCATTGCGTACTGATTTTATTCTTCAGTGCCCAAACCCAATACTCATTTGTTGACCTCTAAAATATTTTGAACATATAGCTTTTATTATCATCATACACTTCAAAGTCATGGTCTTCAGTGACTACAATACTAAAGGCATATTTTATTCCTGAATCTCTCACGCACACACAATAACAGGCAGTTAGAAAGAGCAGTATCTGACCTCCTTCTGGATGCCAATCACATAAAATGTCTTCCCTTCAAACTTCAATTTGCAGACATCTGGCCTAAGAAAAGAAAATCTCTGGGTGAGAAGAAAAAAAGTGGCAGCTAACCAAGGTACCTGGCTTTCCCATAGGAATCTGACTGACTCACAAGTACCAAGCAGACTGCAATGAAACAAGATATTATCTTATCATTGGTGAAGGTCTAATGGGCAGCGAAAAGCCCCAAGTGAATTACATAGCAATTCTCTTCCCAAGAGAGGATCCATACACAGCTCAGAATTATTCTATTTACAGTCAGGCTGCATCTTTCTTCCAAGAAGCTCTAGTGTTCGTGAACATAAGACCAAAACAATATTAATTGCCCAACCCACTTGGCAAGGTGGAAAGAATGTGGTTATTTCAGACTCAGTTAATGAACTAATGTGGATTCACAGTATCCGACTTTCCCCTCCTTCCACATCCATTTCCAGGAAGCAAATCCACTACACTGCAAAATTTTCACTCCTGTTTTCCCTGTTTACAAAAGAATTGTGTTCTTTTATATTGGAACTCCCACTCTTTTCAGCAAGGACTGGTTTAAATAGAAACATGTGACCCAATTCTGTCCAATTAGGTATATAGGAAGTCTCCTACAGGGCTTCTGAAAAAGTTATCCTTGTTTGAAATGGGAACACATAGAATTGTCCCTCTGGGCATTGCCATGGGGAGATGTGCAGGCCAGTCGCATGCATACCCATCTCAGGAGCAGGAGCCTCAGGACCAATGCCCCTGCCCGAGGATGGCAGAGAAAAAAAAAATCAGACCTAAATCCTTCCTGGCATTTAAGTTAGCAGACCATAGAACTGCTCCATGTTTGCTTTGTGAATTGATTAGTCCTCTTATTTGTAAGCCAGAGTAGACATTTCTGTACCTTTTGCCGAAAGCATCTTCATGGATACCCTGGATAACAAAGGGTGAGTTTGCACCCAGGATTCAATAGAGGAGTAGAGTGGAAAGAAGTGAGTTGGGGAGAGTGGGTCCTTAGTCATTCATGGGAACTCACACCTTTACCCTGCCCTGACCCACCCGTGTGTCCCCCTTGGCCAGCAGTAGAAGCTACTGGTAAAGAAACACTGATACTTCTCTTTGAAGGCAGAGCCCCTGAGCCCACACCTCCTGAGTTGACTTCTCAGCTTGGCAAATTCAAGTCCCCACCAAAAGCAACCTAGATGTTACATCCCTTTATGATGAAGCTCCCAGGCAAGGAAATGGATACCAGGCATTCTACTGACACTTGCCCAAGAAGCCAAAAAGGGGATGGAGGAATCAAGATTAAGAAAAATGGAAAGCCAATATTCCAAAGAAGTACTCACCATTTTATCAAATGGATTCTCTTATTTCCCTGGAATACCACAAAGCCTGCAGCTGTGAATCCTAAAAATGTTGTTGTCCCTGTTGAATCCTGAAAAAAAAATAGAAAAACCTGTTTAGATTGAGGAAAATAAAATAAATGATAACCAATATACTTATTTATCCTCACCCTAGGTTAATTTCAGATTAATTCCAATGATTGTAGCAATAAACTAAGTTTCCGAGATGGAAATTAAGAGCAGGCCTTTCAAAGTCTGGGCAAAGTCCAGGAATATGTATCTTTTCCCTTTAAGGAATGGAGCTTCTGCCCTCTAGGAACCTCCTGGAAAAATATAAATTAGTCCCAAATCACTATGTCTACCTCCAAGCGTCTTCTGGGGCTGTGTTCTAGGTCTGCTTTGTAACGTGAGCAAACTGTTCTTGGTTGCCATTAGCACTCTAACATGATAAAACCAAAGCCCTGAGCATCTCATCTTGATTTAATCCCTCACAGGATTTCTGGCAATTTCAGTATAAAAATATCTCCAGAAAAGCTTACTGTGCTTCCAGCCTAGACCAGGAAAACTAAGCATCTTGTAGATAAGTAAAGGCAAAGGAATAACAACACAAAGATAAGTCAGTCTCCAAGAAATAAATAAAATAGAGTTCACATTTCTGCATAAAAATTAATTCACTGAAATGAATAATCAGATTAATACCATTCTAGGAAAGGGCCGCTGGTAAATATTCCAACACATTGTGTAGGTAGAACCAGAGGATGCAAACGCCGGTACAGACAAGTATCCCTCGCTCTCCACCTTCACCACACATTAGAAACATCTGGGGAGCCTGGGCTCCACCCCCGCAGATCCTGATGTAATTGCTCAGGAATGTGTTCTGGAAGCAGGTGCTTATGAAGCTCTCCAGGTGCTTCCAATGGGGATCCTGAGCTGAGAGCTACAGGACTAATGCGTTACCAATACTATTAGGCAGTCCAATCTGGGAAAAGAGATGTGCCACTAAAACTCAAAAACTTATCTTTAAGAGCCCAGCTGATATAAATGCTTACTTCAGGATTAGGAAGTAATCCAGGATTAGGAAGACACTAGTGTCTTGCTGATGCATAGTTAATCGAATATATGGAAAGAAGAACATTGCTTTAATGAAACATTTCTGGAAAATGTATCTACAACTATCACCTTGGAGCTTGATAATAAGGCAGATTCCCCAGCTGTCCCCCAGAATTCTGATTTAGTAGCTCGGGATGAGGCCCAGGTGATTCTGATATAAGCAGTCTGTGTTTCATCCTTGAGAGAAACGCTGTCAAATATGAGTAAAGGAAAAAATAAAAGCAAGTGCTCCTGATGCCAAAATGCAACTTGAAATCTTTCTTTTTTTTTTCTTCCACTTTCTCGATGTTTAAGACTGCATTGTTTCTGGCAATGGCCTTGAAAGTAAATGTGTCAGGGACCTGTAAATCCTCAGGGGCCAAACCATCCATCAGATGAGTGCATCCATGGATGTTAATTTAGGAAAATGAGGCTACTACATAGCAATCAGTGAGCAACCGGAAGACTCCAGTGGAGAAAATCAGCTGCCAAAACATGTAACAGCAGCCCACTGTTGTCCCTTCCGATGACGGACTGTGGGCCAGGCTGTGGGAAAGACCTAATAGGGCTCCTCCAGGCCTGCACACAGATGAACTCTCTTTGGGGCAAAACAATCATGATATGGTGACCTGCTGTGCCGTGAGGAGCAGTTACCTTGCACGGGTGAGGATCCACCCCGTAGGTTTCCAAAGTGTGAGCTTTCAGGAGCAAGTTAAATTCAGCAACTGGTGGGTTCTGCCCTCTAAAATCACACAAGAAAAGTTCAGGAAGTTAAAATGGAAAAGAATAGAAACATGGAATCCCTTCATTCAATAAAGTATGGTGTACTAAGCTAAATAAAAACCCTCACATAAATAGTAACCAGTAAGACTGACTGTTATTTCTCACCACAAGGAGTCCTTTGAGAAGGAACCCAAGATCCTGTTCTCTAGCTAATTGTTCCAAAACAAACCCACACACACTGAGTACTCCAGTGACCTGTACAGTTAATCAAGGTTATCAAGTTACCTTTAAGTAGGCCCTTGCAAATTCAATCTTAATACAAAATAAAACTCAGCATCTGTTCTTTATGCTCATTTAAAAACATTACCCAGGGTAAATGGCACGCCTTCTTGCTTAGGGTAGAAAATGCACAATCCTGTTACCCCATCAACAAGCCTAAACAGAGCCATCAGGTCCAAAAGAATTGTCAACCATCCCACAAAAAGCCCTGGATTTCAAAAGGAAATCTCAACCACTAGTCCTAGCACTGCCCTCCAAAGTAGTAAACAAGGTCTTGGCCTCAGGGAGAAAAGGGCTACAAATATAGATGACCATGAAGCCCTTTCAGGGCTAACATCGAAAGGAAGATTATGCAACATTTCAAAGACCCCACTTTGACTAACATGAATATCCTATGCGTATTTTAGAGAATCTCAATCATTCCCCAAGGATAATTATGTAATTTAACAACCAGAGTTTGCTAAATAAAACAACAGGAATTCATTTTATTAACAAAATGTAAAATGATATTGCAATATTAAATCTATCTCCACTTAACTTCCACCCCAGAGATAGATTGTCCCCAAACCCCTCCAGACAGCGAAGAGTCCTCATGCGTCTAAATCAAAACAGTATCCCACCTACTTCTCCCTAAAGCCTTTCACAGTCTCTTTACCTTTAGAGCACTGGAGTTACACTGATACATCTGATGTCACTGTGATGTGTCTAGGGAGAATCTTTATTTATTCATCATAATCAGCACAGTGTAGATTCTTTTAATCCAACAATGCATCTTTGACTATTTCTTAATTCTTTTCTTCCCTTCCCCACTTCCTCCACTACTCTCTCTCATCTCCTTTGAGAGGCCCTAGTAAATGGGTTTTGAAACTCCTAGGTTGATTTTCCATGTCTTTTAACCTTTGTTTAATTCTTGATATCTCTCTTTTGATACTATGTTTCAATTACTTAATTCAAATGGCTAGCCTGCTAATTTATTCTTCAGATGTGCACATTCTGCTGCTTCTCTCGTTGATATGTTTTTAAAAAAATATCAGTGAAATATTTCATTTCCAATGTAGTATCTATGTGATTTTTGAAATAACACCCTGTTCTCAGCTCATGATCATGAATTCCTCTTATCCCTCTGAGGGTACCACTTCCTTTCTAGTAAGGCCCAATCTTGTTGGCTGCATTAATGCTGCTTTGCTGGTGAAGGTCATTTTGTATGCTGATTCAAGAGTCTCTAATTCATGGAGCTGTTTTCTTAAGTGTTTGGTGGACTCTGTTGGACTTTCATTTTTATATTTGATGTATCAGCCTCCAGAGGTTGAGGGAAGAATGGGATATGCCATGGAGAAGAGCATATAATATGATTTGGATTTGTGTCCCCACCCAAATATCATATCGAACTTTAATCCCCAGTATTGGAGGAGCGGCCCTGTAGGAAGTGATTGGATCATGGGGGAGGATTTCTCCCTTGCTATTCTCAGGGACAGTGAGTGAGTCCTCACAAGATCTGGTTGTTTACCAGTGTCTAGCTCCTCCCCCGCTCTCTCTTTCTCCTGCTCCAGCCACCTAAGATGTGCCTTCTTCCTCTTTGCCTTCTGCCATGATTATAAGTTTCCTGAGGCCTCTCCAGCCATGCTTCCTGTTCAGCCTGTGGTACTGAGTCAATTAAACCTCAACATTACCCAGTGTCAGGTAGTTTTTCATAGCAACGCAAGAATGACTAATATAGCATGTATCAGTAACTTGATTTGGGGCCTAAGGTTCTAGTTCTAGGCACACACAGGGTACCTTCCACTCAAGCCTGCTACTGCCCATGTCAGCACAAAGGCAGGTCTTTCCTTGCAATTCTTGTGATAGTGAATGGGTCTCATGAAATCTGATGGTTTTTAAAATGAGAGTTCCTCTGCACAAGCTCTCCTTTTGCCTGCTGCCACCCATGTAAGATGTGACTTGCTCCTCCTTGCCTTCCATAATTGTGAGGCCTCCCCAGCCACATAGAACTGTTAAGTCCAACAAACTTTCTTTGGCCAATTGCCCAGTCTTGGGTATGTCTTTATCAGCAGTGTGAAAACAGACTAATACAGCATATATTACTGCAGATTTCTGCATATTGATTTTGTATTCTGAAACTTTATTGAATTCATTTATCAAATCTAAGAATCTTTTGGTAGAGTCTTTAGGGTTTTCTAGATAGAAAACTATAACATCAGCAAACAGGGATAATATGACTTCCTTTTTCCCAATTTAGATGTCTTGTTTTTCTCTAGCCTGATTGCTTTAGCAAGGACTTCCAATACTATGTTGAAAAAGAGTGATGAAAGTGGGCATCTTTGTCTTGTTCCAGATCTTAGAGAAAATGCTTTGAACTTTTTCCTGTTAAACATGATGTTTGCTGTGGAGTTGTCATTATGTTAAGATATGTTCCCTCTATGCCTGGGTTGTTGAGGATTTTATCATGAAGAGATGCTGAAGTTTATCAAATGCTTTTTCTTCATCTATTGAGGTGATCTTGTGGTTTTTGTCCTTAATTCTGTTTGTGATGTATCACATTTATGGATTTATGTATATTGAACCATCATTGCATCCCTGGGATAAATCACATCTGATCATGGTGTATTTCTTTTTTATGTGTTGTTGGATCTGATTTTCTAGTATTTTGTTGAGGATTTTTGCATTTATGTTCATCAGGGATACTGGTCTGTAATTTTCTTTTTTTGTTGTATCCTCTGTTTTGGGTATCAGGGTGATACTGGCCTTGCAGAATTAGTTAAGGAGAACTCTCTCATATGCTATTTTTTACAATAGTTTCAGAAAGATTGGTATTAGCTCTTCCTTGCATGTTTGCTAGAATTCAACTGTGAATCCATCTGGTCTTGGGCTTTTTTGTTGTTGTTGTTGTTGTTGTTGTTGTTTAGAGACTTTTTTTGTTACTGACTCAGTCTCACTATTCATTATTGGTCAGTTCAGAAGTTTTATTTCTTCCTGGTTCAATTTTATGAAGCTGGAATTTATTCAATTCCTCTAGGTTTTCTTGTTTGTGAGTATATAGCTGTTCACAATAGTCTCTGATGATCTTTTGTATTTCTGTGATATCAGTTGTAATGTCTCCTTTTCACTTCTGCTTGTGTTATTTGGATCTTCTCCTTTTCTTGGTTAGTCTGGAGAATGATTTATCAATTTTATCTTTTTTCAAAACAAAAGAATCAACTTTTTGTTTGGTTGATGTTTTGTATTTTTTCTTGTCTCCATTTCATTCTGCTCTGATCTTTGTTATTTCTTTTCTCCTGCTAAGTTTGGGTTTAGTTTGTTCTTGCTTTTCTAGTTCCTTGAGGTACAATGTTAGGTTATATTGTGATTTTTCTACTTTTTTGATGCAGGCATTTAATGCTATAAATTTCCCTCTTAGCAATGCTTCTGTTGTATTCCACATGTTTTTGGTATATTGTGTTTTATTTTCATTCATTTCAAAAAATTTTTTAATTTGTTTTAATTTTCTTATTGATCCAGTGATCATTCAGGAGAATGCTGTTTAATTTCCATGTATTCATGTAGTTTCAAGCATTCCTCTTTGTACTGATTTCTAGCTTTATTCTGCTGTGGTCTGGGAAGATATTTAATTCAATTTTGATTTTTTTTAACTTCTTAAGACATTTTCTGTGGCCTTATATATGGTCTGTCTTGGAAACTTTTCCACGTGCTGATGAAAAGAATGATTTTCTGTAGTTATTGGGTATAATATTCTGTAAATGTCTAAGTCTACATGGTCTAAAGTCCAACTTCAGTTCAGTGTTTCTTTTTTTTTTTAAGACAGAGTTTCGCTCTTGTTACCCAGGCTGGAGTGCAATGGCGGGATCTCAGCTCACCGCAACCTCCACCTCCTGGGTTCAGGCAATTCTCCTGCCTCAGCCTCCCGAGTAGCTGGGATTACAGGCACGCGCCACCATGCCCAGCTAAGTTTTTGTATTTTTAGTAGAGATGGGGTTTCACCATGTTGACCAGGATGGTCTCGATCTGTTCACCTCATGATCCACCTGCCTCGGTCTCCCAAAGTGCTGGGATTACAGGCGTGAGCCACTGTGCCCGGCCCAGTGTTTCTTTATTAATATTCTGTCTTGATGATCTATCTAGTACTGTGAGTGGGGTGTTGAACTTCCCACTATTACTGTATTTCTGTCTATCTCTTTAGGTCTAGTAATATTTGCTTTTTTGAATGGGGTACACTGATTTTCTGGCATATATATTTAGAATTGTTATATCCTCTTGAGTTTCAGTCCACTTGAGTCCTTATCTCAAAACAGCCCCTAGCAGGGAAATGGGTATTGTCCTGGGCATGAAAAAGAGAGCCTAGTTTCCTTGTCCCTTCTCAACCAGACAGTGGTTGCAGTCATGACAACTTGAACTCAGCCCATGATGGAGTGCAGCTCAGTGTTAAACCCTCTAAATGACATCTATGGCTATGACCAGGGAGAGCAGGGCTCTTCTCAGGCAGGAAGTGTGGACAAGAAGCTCTGGAGAGCATGGTCCACTCATATCTCAGTCTCACAGTAGCCCATTGCAGGACAGTGGGTATTGTCCTATATATGATAGGAGAGCCTGGATTCCCTGCTCCTCCTTGGCCAGGTGGCAACTGCAACCACATCAACCCAGACAGTCCAAGGTCAAGCGGCAGCCCATCATTAAACTCTCAGAATGTTGGCTTGGGCCTGAGAACAGAGAGGGTGGGATTTCTCCCAGGCAAGCAGTGCAGACAAG